CAAGTTGGCCCGGCAGAGAGCAGCATGATGCCGCTCCATCCCCTCCCCAGCTCCCCGGGCTGTTTTTCCCCCCCTGCACCAGCCCCGCCAAACAAAAGGCACAAGCAGCGCTTTGTGTTGCAGCCCGAGAGCCGGGTCAGGCAGGACCCATAATCCTCATCAAGGAAATTAAGCCAAGCACTGATTTTTCACCAGGATGGCACCCGCAAGCACGAGGCCGGCTGCGAAAGGCTTGCATAACCCACTTACGTGCTGCAGAGCCACGCTGCCCAGTCAGCCCCAGGGCCAGCCCAGCTGATGACACACCGAGGCAGCAGAAACACTATCAAGAGGGACCCAGCCACCCTGCCACACCACAGCCGGCAGCTCTGGGGGTACAGCCTTGCAATCAGAGCCACGCTCCCCAATTACCCCCTTTCCCAGGCAGGGAGAAGCGTTTGGCTACAGTGCAAGGCCACAGCTCACACGCTCGCTGGGACCAGGGCTGGCAGGGCTCAGGCAGGCATAGGCACCTCGGGCCAGCTGGGAGATCACTGGGGCTCCTCTCCAGCCCACGGCCACTGCTGCCTTGCTCCAAGGGCAGGAGCACTGGCAGAAGCACGCCGAGCTCAGGGCTGGCAGCAGGAAAGGGACCCCCCGCCACATCCTCCATCCTCTCCACAGGCACCACGCTGTGCACAAAGGCAGCAAAGGCCTCGCACCTTCACTTTCCCCCCCAGGAAAGAGCAGTGAGAACAAAAAATAACCGCTTAGAGAAGCATGAGACACGCAAGCACCATGTCCTACAAGGGCTCCTGTAAGTTGGGGCTGATCCTTGACCCCACAGCCACAAGACACTGAGGAACTGTGCAGCAGGGCAAGGTGACGCCTGCCCCCAAACAGGCAAGCGTGCCCCAGTGACCAGCGCTCCTCCGGGCTCTGCGGAGCAGGGACCACTGCTCATCTCCCTTCGCAAAGGCTTGAACACCTCCCAGGCTGCGATTAGAGCACAGAAGAGCTGGCACCGAATCGTGAGAGACAGTGTTGTGTTCTACAGCCAGAGGAGCCAGAAATGAGTCAGCAGGTCAGGCAACCCAGGGGTCCAGCCAGCAGGGAAGAGAGACCAGAGTCCAAAGAAAGATGAAAAAAGAGAGAGAGGAATCATCTTTATTTGTGAAGTGTGTTAACAGTTCAATGCTACCCGGCAATAAAGGTATTAGACTCCACTGAGCATCTGTCTGCTCTCAGGCTTCTATGTCACACAAACATCACGATGGCTCAAGCACAAGAACACACGCTGTTAAACTGCCCCCCCCAGCACTGCAGCCCCTGTTCACTCTGCCCCTATCCCCCACTGTAGCAACTTGAGAAGAGATACTAACAAGCCATGAAAATAAGTTAACAGCAATCATATTTATCCAGCATCCAGCTCTAACACTGCCTCCTGGTTATCTGTTTAAGAGGGTAACTAAAGCAGCTCTGGAGGAAGCTGCCTGACATGGTACGGCACTGTGTGTGTGTCCAGGTGGTGTGGCACACACCGAGGAATGGGCCCTTCACTCGCTCCTCCCCAGGAGCCGCACCAGATGTGCCTGGTGGCCCTGGCCAGGTGGCTTACAAGGACACATGCCGCTTCCATGCTAGGTAAGGGTGCAGCCTTGCTCCAGGTGATGCACTGGGAAAGACAGAGAACTACCTTCCTAAACCCTTTGGTCAGATCGGGTCATCTCCAGACGGTCACCAAAGCAGTTTCTCCCTGACCCGCACAAACAGGGCAGGACAACAGACCTGCTGGGAACACAGGCCGTGCCAGCCACGTCCAGCGGAGCAGCACACAAGGAACTGCGCGCATTTCACTGCGTGTTCAGGTCTGTTATCCACAGCTCCCTGAGCGGCCTCAAACACTGAGGTGGGGCAAGGAGGGCATTTCAGAATGGCCCTACCCAGCACACCCTGTTCTTCCCAGAGGTGAGGAAGAAATAAGTTGTGCTCCCACCCACCCCCACCGTACATGAAGAAACCTAGGACAGAGGCAGCCAGCGACCTAGACTAACAGAAACAAGGGATTTACATTTACAGGTAGAAAAACCCTCCCACAACTTTTTTTTAAAAAAGTGTATTTTAGATTCTACAACTTAAGTTTCTTTAGAAAGTGAAGTAACTGAATCACAAGGACACACTAGAATATTTTATGGTGCTATTTTACCAAAAAATTAGAAGAAAACAAAATTGTCCAGACAAGTTCTTCATCTACACATCACCTGGCAGGAGAGAAAGAAAAGCCAGTTAGATAACCCAGTTGTACCAGTAAGGCTGCACTGTGCTAGAGGGGGTTGATGGAGCAGTACAGGACAAAGGCTGCCCTTCAGTAAAGCTGTGGGTAAGGACTCATCTCCCGCTTGAGTCCAGGGCAGGAGCTAT